CAATCCCTCACCGACCGAAATGCTGCAAATAGGTGGGTTAGAGATAACATCCAAAATTACCCTGATGTCAAGTTCAAATATATTGCAGTTGGAAACGAAGTCGATCCAAATAATGAAAGTCGTAAGTACGTCAATTTTGTACTCCCAGCCATGCAAAATCTTCACAACGCCATTAGAGCCGCAGGACTAGGGAACCAAATCAAGGTATCGACTGCAACCTACACGGGTCTCTTGATAACATCCTACCCGCCAAGCAATGGTGTATTTCATGACAATGTACGGGGATTTATAGAGCCAATAATCAGATTTTTAGCCCATTGCAACTTGCCAATGCTTGCCAACATCTACCCTTACATTGGTTACCTTGGGGACCCTAATGGGAATCTTCCGTATGCATTGTTTACTGCTCCAGGAACAGTTGTGAGTGATAATGATCGTCGGTACTCCAACCTTTTCGACGCCATGTTAGATGCTCACTATGCAGCTCAAGCACGTATTGGTGGAGAGAATGTGAATATTGTTGTGTCGGAAACTGGATGGCCTTCAGCAGGTGGTCGTGGAGCATCGGTAGAGAACGCTAGAAAATATTATACCAATTTGATTCGACATGTCAAAGGGACATCGGGGACACCAATAAAGCCTGGAAGATCTATAGAGACATACTTGTTTGCAATGTTCGATGAAAATAGGAAAGACGGAGCAGAAACGGAGAAACATTTCGGGCTTTTCTCCCCAAATAAACAATCCAAGTATCAGTTGAGCCTCAATTAAGGAAAACCACAATTTCCGGAACTTTCGAAGAAAAATACATATATAAAATAAATGTGGTTGGTTATTTATGTAATTACGTTAGTAATTACAATTAAAACCATATGAAAATAATGTAACTGATATGACTATTAATATATAATATTAATAGCCATCTAGGATTTGGAAGTTCAAAGTCCGAGTCGATCTTTTATTGGGTTGTCAATGTATGTGTTACTTGTTTGTTTGTATTAAGGTTAGACAAAACCAGACCAATATTTTGTCATTGTGACCATGGGTCATAGGATCCATAAGGTTAGGAATGGCAACGAGCCGGGTATTGGTATTCTCGTTCTCGAAACCGATAGCTAAAATCGTCTCCGTAACCGCCCCGATCCCCGTCGGGGATCCCCATCGGGTCCCCACAGTTTCCCCGATCCCCGTTGGGGAACCCGTTAAGGGTAAAAATCTTCCTTTCGCTGTTGGTTATAACCGAACCCGAAACCGATCTGAAAAAAATTACAATATACTAATTTTCACAACTAAAAGTAAACTACTTTTTTTAAAGATGTAAGTTTAAATGTTTCAAACATAATCGAACCAATTACAAACAATATATTATATTACAATATAAAACTAAACATAAATTCAAACATTATACAACTAAAATCACGATTTTAGAAAATAAACTAGACTTTTTCGTGAGCTTTATTTGGGTTGTTGAGGTAAAGTGGATAAAAGTATTTTAAATTTTAATGTTACTATTTTCTATTAATGATTATATATATATATATATATATGTATATAATTTAAAATTTATATATATATATATATATACATATTGGGCTGGGCCGGTGATCACCGCCCCCGTCCCCGTTAAAATCCCCGAATTTTTCCCCGATCCCCGCCCCGTCCCTGATAAGTTGTCCCCAAAATCGGCCCGAAAGTTTCGGTTTTCACCATCGGTTTCGGGTTTTTTTGGCCATCCCTACATAACGTCACGATGTTTGCCTAAGGGTTACTATATATCTGGGATGATCTAATGCTATGACAGATTGTTGTAGCATGAATCTTTAACTCTAGGGACCGCTCATCTACCCTTGTGACACACGATTTACCTCTCCCATGATCCACGTTAGACTGATACGATGAGGACGCTCCAAAAGGTAGTTCGATACCCTTTTGGCAAAACCTTCCACTTGGTTCGTAAAAAAAGGCCAACCTCTGGACTAGCTGACTATATGCTAATTTGCATAATAAAATCATTGGCCGGAAAGATTACTTTTTATAACATTATTTAATCATATTGTCATATATATACGACTTGAATGCATATTAGGATGAGATGCATCAGATCAATCTCTATATCAAACATGATTCATTGATGAATTTGAAATTAAAATAATCAAGGGTCCAGATCTATTTTTACATTTATCAAATGAACTCTGCTTTTTAATGCAAATAATCATAAACATATATCATCCCCTGTCAATATGATTTTGATGAAAATGTAATTATATCATTTACCCTAATTTGCCACCTAAAAAGGAAATGTTCAAAAAGTTCACATGCTTTGAATAAACCCTCGGCCTCCTCC